CTTATCAACTGACATCAGAAGGAGACAGTCATCATTTTCGGCTATGTTATGAGAAGAGGAAAAATAGAACATGTTGTGACCACTGGAAAGATCTGTGGAAGGAGGGATAGAGGAAGACAACGAGAGAAGATGCTTAAAAGTCTTGTTGCATGACATGGAGGTGTGTCGGAACACGAGCTAATACATGCTGCAGGAGATCGCAGATTATGGAGAGGCACGATCGCCCACGTCAGTCGGTAAGGCACCTGATGATATATATAATAATATATATATAGATATATATATATATATATATATATATATATACATATATAATATATACATATATACAAATATTTAAATATATACAAATATTTATGTATATGTATATGTATATATATATATATATATATATATATATATATATATATATATATATATATATATATATATATATATATATATATATATATATATATATATATTATATATATATATATATAACATACATATACAAATATATACATATACAAATATATACATATATACAAATATATACATATATACAAATATATACAAATATAATATATATATATTTGTATATATGTATATATTTGTATACATATATATACAAATATATACATTTATATACAAATATATACATTTATATACATTTATATACAAATATATACATTTATATACATTTATATACAAATATATATATATATATATTCGTATATAAATGTATATATTTGTATATATGTATATATTTGTATACATATATATACAAATAAATACATATATATACATATATATATATTCAGATTGATTATATTTTGATTTCAAGAAGATTTCAGAGCAGCTTAGTTGGAGCAAAAACTAGACCAGGGGCAGACTGCTTTAGTGACCATGTTCCAGTTGTAAGAAAAATTAGAATAAAACTAAAGAACATTAGAAAAACACTACAGAACATCAAGTTAAATCTAGGAATTCTTAGAACGGATAAAGAAATTAAGGAACAGTACAAGGTCACTGTACAAAACCGGTATAATTCAATGGAAATTATACAGACTATTGATGAACAGTGGGATATGTTGCGTGAGTCAATTCAGCAAACATCAAAAGAGACAATCCCACCAACCCATACAGTTGCAAAAAAGAAATGGATGTCAACCGAAATTCTGCAGTTGATGGATGAAAGAAGGAAGAAAAAGAATGATAATGAAGAATACTCTAGAATACAAAAAGAAATAGTGAACAAATGCAAAGTGGCTAAAGAAGCCTGGCTGAATCAAATGTGTACAGAGATTGGGGAAATCACGGGAAAGACTCACATTCCATGTACCAACAGATAAATATGTTAACAGGAAAGATGACACGTAACAGCACTGGATGTTTGAAATCAAACGATGGTGACTTAATAATGGGACATAGTAATATAATTAACAGATGGACAGAGTATATAGGGGAATTGTATGATGATAATAGACCAGACGTAGAACTGCAGACCAACAATGATGGTCCACCAATAATGACTGCAGAAGTTGAGGATGCAATACATCATTTGAAGAAATGAAAAGCACCCGGGCCAGACAACATCTCACTGGAAGAAATCGAAGCACTGGGAAATTTTGGAATTGAAATAATAACTAAACTTTTAAATGATAATTATAACAGTGGGTATGTTCCAAATGACCTTTTAAAATCCATATTTATAGCTCTGCCGAAGAAACCAGGCACTTTAAAATGTGAAGACCATCGCACAATAAGTCTTATGATTCACATGACCAAGATTTTACTGAGAATAATTATGAGAAGAATAAGAAACAAAATTAAACCAGAAATCAGCGATGAACAATGTGGATTTGTAGAAGGAAAAGGTACAAACAATGCCATATACATCCTAAGGACATTGTCAGAAAGAGCTATAGAAGTAAAGAATGATTTGTACTTATGCTTCATAGACTATACAAAAGCATTTGACTGTGTGAAGCATGAAGAAGTAATCAAACTGTTAGAAAAATTAAACATTGATGGGAAAGATCTAAGAATAATAAAGAATATGTATTGGCAGCAAACAGCAGCTATAAGAATTAACAACTGTTTAGGTACATTTCAAA